CCTGCCACAACGCCCAGCTATTTTTTAGAGATGGGGGTCTTGATCTTGCTCAGGTTGGTCTCGAACTCGTGAGCTCAGGCAATCCACCCGCCTCGGCCTTCCATATGCTGGGATTACAGGAGTGAGTCACTGCGCCTGACCCCAAAATTTATTCTTTAAATGGTTGTAGGGAAACTAGTTTTATCAATATAATTTATTTAACCTGCATTTACGGTGTATCTAGGTTGCTTCTAATATTTTGCTATTATAGAACAAGGAACACGAGCATCTTGTGCATGTTCTTGGTGATTGTCTAGGACGTGTTGTCAGAAACTGGTGCGGTCTTGTTCCTAATTCTGGCAGTTTTCCTCCCCAGACAGCCCGAACAGCCCTCAAGGCCTCCCTCGGGGTTGTGTGGCAGGTATCCACCAGGGGGCGAGCGGGAGCCGCGGGCAGGCTCTACTACGCATGCTCACGCTTCTGGGAGCACGTGCGGAAGGCGGCGGGGCGGGAGGGGAAAGGTAGGAGGTGAGAGGTGAAGGGGCGGGGAGCTGTGCGGGTTCCCGGCGGCCTGGAGAGGGAAGTCTGGTGCCACGCACCGGACCGCGGTCCGAGAGCGCGCACGCCGCGTTCTGTCCTTCCTGCCTGCCGCCGTTGCCATCTCCGCCCGGGGTTGCTGTAGCCACAGGTACCGGCGCGCGCGTCCCCATGGGCTCCTGCCTGCAGGCCTGGGCTTGGGCCTTGGGCAGCTCAAACTTGGGAATTCCGGGATGGGGGCCACCTGGGTTAGGGGCACTCTGGCGTGGGCGCTGTCCTACAGCCCTACGGGTTGGCCCCGGAGACGGCAGCTGTGAGGGGGCAGGGCCGCCGCGTCCCCACCCCGGTTCCGGGCCCCTGTGTGTGCTGCCGAGACTGGGGCTCGCGCCGTTGCACCCCCTAGCCTATTCGCCCGCCCGGGTCAGCTGTCGTTTTTCTAGAACCTGCTTCGGGGCTGTCTGGGTTTTCCAGAGTGCCGGGGAGAGCGTGCTTTCCACTCTTGCTTCTTTTGGAAGATCTGATCGAGCGGCAGCATATAGGGTCTTCGCTGGGTCTTGTTTGGTTTCTAGTTTCCTGTATTGCTTAAACTTTGCTTTTATGGACCTTCTGTTTACTTTCTGAGTGGGTTTATTACTTCAGTATTATACAAGATTATAATGTCATGATAGCGATAGTTGAAAGGAGCCCCGAATCTAGATAGAATCAAAGGAAGTTGTACCAATAGAAATGCTCAAGGGGGCTGTGTGTGTGTGTGTGTGTGTGTGTGTGTGTGTGTGTAGGGGGCTTCTGGCAGGTGTCTCCTCTAGTGGCGGTTACTTACTGCTCTACCTTCTGTGGTGACAGAGGTGGGAGATTAAGCTCTGTCTGGAAATTTCGTAATAATTCTTCTGAAGTGAACACAGAAAAGATTTCCTTAATGTTAGCTTTGTGTTTCTTTTATTTGACTGAATGTTCTGCGGGATTTGGGATGCAGTGTTCTTATTGGCATGCTACCATTTCAGGATATTGTGCTAAAGATTGAAGCTTTTATTAGGGATTCAGGGTCAAGGGTGTCTAGTTTGTGGGGTATGCATTTCAGGTGCCCTTGAGTGATGCCTAGTTGACGACCTGTATTTTCCGAAGTTTGTGCTAATATAATTTAGACTTTAGGTGTTTTACATCTTTGTGGTGTTCCTACTGAGCACATGATGTGCAAAACACAACATATATAAGTATAAATATGTCTTCATATTCATTCATTTGGTTGTAATTGAAATAGAAAGCATTCTTTCTCATTTATTATGAACTCATCTGGTGTTTGAAAGCTCTCCCTTTTCTTTTGCTATTGTGGCAAAAACATCACCTCCCTAGAGGTCTCCATGTACTTTATAATCAGTGATTTGGGAATCCTCCATCCCCTCCAGTCTAGATTAGTTTATTGTCATGAGAAGTTCCAAGTTTATAACTAGAAAATGGAGGCATAAGGATTCTTATTTTCCTGAGGTTTCATAGGAGCAGGTAAACTGTCCAGCTGAGAAAGGAACCATGACTGTGGTCTTAAGTGTGAGTATATTTATTAACATTTGGTGGAAGGTACTCTCTCAGTATCTAGCCATGTGCACATATATGGCCCAGAGATCCCTGGAATGACACTTAGGTTCATGTGCTGTTTGTTTACTCTGACCATCAGTTGTCATTTGCTGACTGTAAAGCACTACCTATGCAGTTTGTGTCATCACTCAACATTGAACAGATGAGAGGACTCCTTATAGAGAAACTGGGTTCCCAAGGTTACCCAGCTTGTAAATGGTGAATCAGGCCTTCAGACCATGTCTCCTGGAGAGGTACTTCCATTATAACTTGCTACATTCCTGAGTTGGCTAAAGAAAGAGGGTCCAGGAGATTTCTTTTGCCACCTAAAGCAAAAATTCTGGGTGATAATTTATTGAGCTGTGCTGTCTAGGAATTGTGTTAGGTGCTCTAGTATTAGCTTATCTCACTTAATCCTCATAATAACCAGATGAGATGACACTGTTATCACTTCCTTTACAGATGAGTTTTAGAGACATTTTCTGACTTGCCTTAGGTCACCTAGTGAGTTAGAGGCGGAGCCTGTGTGCAAACTGACGTTTGTCTGATGACAAGAGTTCATATTTTATGCTTTTCTTGCACCGGTTACCTTCACAGCCTTCTCTGTTGGTTGTTGGCAGAAAAGGGATAGTGAAAAAGGTAGTAGGGGTGAAGGGATGAAGACAGTGCCACAGACTTAAATGCGGGGATGGTAGAACTCAGCAAGATGGAGATAGCAGTTGACCTACTGCCATTTGATAGCTGCTGTTCTAGCAGTCAGGGACACTGCCCAAGAATGTTTGCAGGGATGGGGTGCAGTGGCTCATGCCTATAATCCTAGCACCCTGGGAGGCTAGATAGATTGCTTGAGCTCACCAGTTCGAGA